GCAGCCTCTGTGCTAATGGATGGGGTTCTGTTCCTGTCTTGCTAGTTGTTTGGCATAGGGTGTCCATCACTGTAGCTTGCTGGTCGTTGAGTGGAGCTGGGTCTTGGCGTTGAGATGGAGATCTCTGGGAGATTTTCGCCATTTGATATTATGTGGAGCTGGGAGGTCTCTGGTGGACCAGTGTCCTGAACTTGGTTCTCCCACCTCAGTGGCACAGCCCTGATGCCTGGCTGGAGCACCAGGAGCCTGTCCTCCACACGGCTCAGAATAAAAGGGAGGAAAAAAATAAATTAAATTAAAATAAAATAACGTTATTAAAATAAAAAATAATTATTAAGAAAAAAGTATTTTTATGTGAAAAATAATAAAACAGACAGGCAGAACCCTAGGACAAATGGTAAAAGCAAAGCTATACAGACAAAATCACACACAGAAGCATACACATACACACCCACAAAAAGAGAAAAAGGGAAAAAATATATATATATATATCGTTGCTCCCAAAGTCCACCTCCTCCATTTGGGATGATTCGTTGTCTACTCAGGTATTCCACAGATGCAGGGTACATCAAGTTGATTGTGGAGCTTTAATCCGCTGCTTCTGAGGCTGCTGGGAGAAATTTCCCTTTCTCTTCTTTGTTCGCACAGCTCCGGGGTTTCAGCTTTGGATTTGGACCCGTCTTTGCGTGTAGGTCGCCTGAGGCCGTCTGTTCTTCGCTCAGCCAGGACGGGGTTAAAGGAGCAGCTTATTCGGGGGCTCCGGCTCACTCAGGCTGGGGGGAGGGAGGGGAACGGATGCGGGGCGACCCTGCGGCAGCAGAGGCCAGCGTGACGTTGCACCTGCCTGAGGCGCACCGTGCGTTCTCCCGGGGAAGTTGTCCCTGGATCCCGGGACCCTGGCAGTGGCGGGCTGCACAGGCTCCCCGCAAGGGGGGTGTGGACAGTGACCTGTGCTTGCACACAGGATTCTTGGTGGCTGCAGCAGCAGCCTTAGCATCTCATACCCGTCTCTGGGGTTCGCGCTGATAGCCGCGGCTCTCGCCTGTCTCTGGAGCTCATTTAAGCGGTGCTCTTAATCCCCTCTCATCGATCACCAGGAAACAGAGGGAAGAAAAAGTCTCTTGCCTCTTTGGCAGCTCCAGACTTTTTCCCGGACTCCCTCCCGGCTAGCCATGGTGCACTAGCTCCCTCAGGCTGTGTTCACGCCGCCAACCCCAGTCCTCTCCCTGGCGTCTGACCTCTGAAGCCCGAGCGTCAGCTCCCAGCCCCCGCCCATCCCAGCGGGTGATCAGACAAGCCTCTCGGCCTGGTGAGTGCTGGTCGGCATCGATCCTCTGTGCGGGAATCTCTCCTCTTTGTCCTCCGCACCCCTGTTGCTGCAGTCTCCTCCGCGGCCCTGAAGCTTCCCTCCCACCTCCGCCACCCGCAGTATGGCCCCGAAGCTCCCCACCCACCTCCACCACCCGCAGTATCCGCCCGCAAAGGGGCTTCCTAGTGTGTGGAAACCTTTCCTCCTTCACAGCTCCCTCCCACTGGTGCAGGTCCCGACCCTATTCTTTTGTCTCTTTTTTTTCTTTTGCCTTACCCAGGTACGTGGGGAGTTTCTTGCCTTTGGGGAGGTCTGAGGTCTTCTGCCAGCATTCAGTAGGTGTTCTGTAGTAGTTGTTCCACATGTATATGTATTTCTGATGTATCTGTGGAGAGGAAGGTGATCTCCACGACTTACTATTCCGCCATCTTGAAGCTCCTCTGCCCCTAGGTTCTTCATGACCTTTTTTTTTTTTAGATTCCATATATATGTGTTAGCATACTGTGTTTGTTTTTCTCTTTCTGCCTTACTTCACTCTGTATGACAGACTCTAGGTCCATCCACCTCACTACAAATAACTCAATTTCATTTCCTTTTATGACTGAGTAATATTCCATTGTATATATGTGCCACATCTTCTTTATCCATTCATCTGTTGATGGACACTTAGGTTGCTTCCATGTCCTGGCTATTGTAAATAGAGCTGCAATGAACGTTTTGGTACATGACTCTTTTTGAATTATGGTTTTTGCAGGGTATATGCCCAGTGGGATTGCTGGGTTGTATGGTAGTTCTATTTTTAGTTTCTTAGGGAACCTCCATATTGTTCTCCGTAGTGGCTGTATCAGTTTACATTCCCACCAATAGTGCAAGAGGGTTCCCTTTTCTCCACACCCTCTCCAGCATTTTTGTTTATAGATTTTTTGATGACGGCCATTCTGACCAGTGTGACGTGATACCTAATGGTAGTTTTGATTTGCATTTCTCTAATGATTAGTGATGTTGAGCATCCTTTCGTGTGTTTGTTGGCAATCTGTATATCTTCTTTGGAGAAATGTCTGTTTAGGTCTTCTGCCGATTTTTGGATTGGGTTGTTTGTTTTTTGATTTTGAGCTGCTTGTAAATTTTGGAGATTAATCCTTTGTCAGTTGCTTCATTTGCAAATATTCTCTCCCATTCTGAGGGTTGTCTTTTCGTATTGTTTATGATTTAAGGATTAATTTTTTTAAATCATTTTAGTATTCAAACACTGAAATCAAGTTTTCAGTATTACCTATAGATAGTAGCTAAATCAGACTATAGCATCCTGGTGTGTTTTGTGTTTGTGTAAAGAACCCAGGTTCTATATTTTGTATAAGCTTAAGTTGTGGACTGGTAATTTAGCCAGTGGAAAACCAGATAATGATCTAATACATAGGTGGCCAAAGTTTTTTGTTTTTGTTTTTGTTTTTTAAGGGCCTTTTAACTCCTTTGGAAAACCCCTTAAAGAGTGAAAGTCAAACACAGAACGGCATCATATATCCCACTCATGACACACTAGTCCATTTCTGAAAATAATAACGCTTTCTCAAAATGAAGTCATTTATATCCTTAGCCATGCCCTATTGTGTGCACTGAGTACTTTCAGAGAGCAGTGTTTCCTGTGGCATACTCCCAAGACTGGCTTATTTGTTAGCATTAGGCTTTTATTATCATGCTGCTCTACCTGCGTAGTTCTGCCTTCTCCAAGGTGGCCAGAGTAGCTTAAGCACAGGAATGTTACTATGCGTAGGTGGAATGTTTTTGTCTGGTGAGCGCCCATTGTAAATCCCTAGCTATGATGCCATTCTAATGACTTTAATCTTTCTAAGAACAGCCAATTCATCCATTTATAACATAGTCCGATATTAAATTGTTTACATTCATCTGTTCTGTGCCAGTCCAGGGAAAGACATTAGTCTTTGCACCATAGTGAACTGGCCCCTCCTCCTTTACTTTCTCAGGAAAAGGCATCACGGTCAACCCCTACTGCTGAAGCCTGGAACTGATGTGTATTCTGAGTTTCTCCATCATTCTGTGCATTCAATCACCAAGTCAAACTTCTTGATAGTTTTCAGATCCACTCACTTCTTTCAGTCTCCTGTGACCACTACCTTAGTCTAAGCCCACATCATCTATAGAACAACTACTGTGGTCTTCTAATGGTCTCCATGCTCCCATGATTGCCCTTTCCAGTTCATTCTCTTTTGCTTTAAATATTCATCAGTACCCACTGCTCTCCATAAATAGGTATTCTGTAATTTCTATTCATAAGTGTTTTTATTTCACACATTAGTAGGACAGACTTTGACTTGTCCATAGAAAGCAGTGATCTGAATTCTTGAACTTCTCTATAGATTTATTTAAAGGGAAACTCTAGCTTGCAAGCTCCAAAAGACTAAAATTTAGGGACAAAATAAGCCATTTATAGATTTCTGTGTTACAGGGAGTTCCCTGGCAGTTCAGTGGTTAGGACTCCACCCTCTTATTGCTGAGGGCCCAGGTTTGATCCCTCGTCAGGGCACTAAAATCCCACAAGCCTCATGGCACAGCCAAAATAAATAAATTTCTGTGTTGGAATATTAATCAGAGGTCAAGAAATCATTGAAATCAGAGAGTATCAGGACTAGACTGATCCTTGGAGATTATGTGGCTCAACCTCATCATTTTATAGGTAAGGAAACTGTGGCCCAGCCACAGAAAACAAATTGATCCTTCTAAATATGGAATCTCATCATGTAACTCCTTTTCTTAAAATCTGTCCAGGCTTCCCATTATGGTCAAGATGAAGTCTAAATTCCTCAGCGTGGCATACAACGTCTGTATAGTCTGGCCTTTCCTTATCTTTCCAGACTTACCCTTTGCTCCTCTCTCCAACTTATCCTAGAACTTGATGTTTCCAAGTAAACTGTGTTCTTTCTTACCCACACGACATTGCACATAATTTCTCCTAGTCCTTCCCATTTTGAATGCTAAATCCAAACCATCCTTCAGACATCTGATTAGACATCATCTCCCCTGCAAACATATCCCAGATCCCCTCTACACTACCAAGCATGTGTCACCATCATAGCATATTCACAGCATCCTAACTGCCTTTGAACAATCTGTTTCTATCACTGGACTGGAAGGAATAGAGAGTTGAGGGCAGGGACCTGCATCTTACTCATTGTTCTGTCCTCACATCTTGATCAGGTATCTGACATCCAATATTTAAGATTAATTATTAATTCTCTTTTAACTTGCCTAGTATATTTCAATTATTCCATCAGCTCTTCTTACAAAATCTATTTTCAGAGGGAAAAAAAAGCTTGTTCATTCACCTCAATGCATAGGTCACTGATAGTTTTAAATGACAACTCTTCCTAGAAGCATATACATTTTTAGGGGAACAAGGTTTTGAGTCACAGGAATGAATTCCCAATGCAGATAATCCAACCATAAATAGTAAGCCATGAGAGTATTTGTGATGGAAAGAAAACTTTCCCAGAACCTTCAACACAGTCATATAGGTGATCTACTCTCACCTCACCCTCACAGAAGAATGACTCTATGTTTTTGTCTATAAAAATCAGATCACTTGTTGGTTATTTTTCTCTGTATTAAGAAAATCATTGTTTACCCACAGTAAAAATGCCTGATTTAATTTATAACATTTCTGGTTTTGTTTCAGGGAAGCAATGTTATGGAAGATCAAGATCTGTTGGAAATTGGAATCCTTAATTCTGGGCACAGACAAAGAATTCTACAGGCAATCCAGCTCCTTCCAAAGGTAAGCCATGCTTTATTACCTTAGCCCTGAATATAGTCCCAGTGGTTTTAAGTCCAGGTGTGCAAGGGGTATTAGGATTTAGGACAATATGTCTGCATATTGATGCAACTCCTCAAAGCAGGTCTTCTTAGTCCAGCTAAACATTCAGACTCATAAGACTACTATGAGCCACAGTAGATCTATCAAGAAAGATATAATACAGGAAATGCCACTGGCTAGCAGGGCAGCTTCAGAGTTTTTCTTCAGTGGGATTCTTTATGTCAGTACAAACATCAGTCCATGCCCCCCAGGTGACAGATCAGGTGCAAGAAGACAAGATCAAGATAGGGTGGGTACAAGAACGTTCCTGGATCAGAAGCCTCATGCCCTTAAAGGCTCATCTCTTGTAATAACTCCATAGCCCTAGCCTCCAGGGACAAGGAACCTGCCTAATCACAAGTCATCACTCAGGGAAGTCCAAAATATCGCATCCCCATCAGGTATTTGTAGTTCATGTATAAATCTTCCCAGTCCAGATGCAATTTACCAACCAGGCATCATTTTAACTTTAAGTAGTATGTTACCTAGCAACAGAGTTAACCTTCTGTTTCCAGATGAGGTTTCATAAGAGCCTAAAACAACTGGTCTTCAGGATATGTAGGATTTTAATTGGTAAGGAAAGGGAAAGGCATTTCAGGGGCCAGCAGGAATCACATAGATAGAGGTACAGTCCAGGCAACAAACTGCCAGAAGCATTAGGGGAAGAGCGATACTCGTGTGGTTTAAAATCCAGTGGGATTTGCACAACACTGTGAATGTACTTAATGCCGCTAAAGTGTATACTTCAAGATGGTTTAAGGTGGCAAATTTTACATTTTGTTATTTCACCATGGTTTAAAAAATAATTTTTTAAAAAAGAAGAAAAAATCCAATGTGATTAAAACAATTTGGAGTCAGAGTTAAAACAGAAAAAGTAAGTTGGGTCAGGTTGGTATCAGGCTAAGGAATTTGAAATTTATTCTGTAAGCACAGGGGAATGGACATGACTAGACTGCTTTAGGCCAGTTAATTCTGAAGACTGTATACAAGAGGAATTAGAAGGAGGGAATGTTGAAGTTGGGTCATACACTTGGAAAAAGATTCAGGGGGCAAGAGTGGAGGCAGGGTAGCAGATGGACGGCAATAGATGCACCTAAATATATGAATTTATTATATATTTTGTATTCTCCTCTGTGCTTTTCCTTTCTAAGGAGGCTATAATTTCTCCTTCTCAGAATGGGAAAGATAAATACTAACCACTGTTTCTAAGGAAGTGACATGATGAAATTTGCCAGCTGACAATGAACTGAGTTTCTACTGATAGAAACTTACCACTTTTGCAAATTCAAGGAAAGTCAAGCATACAAAGGAGTTTTAGTCATACAATTTTCTAAACTAAAAGAAAAGGAATAAAGCATCCTTAAAACTGTATCTGGAGGTAATTCTTATTAACATACTGTTCACCTCGCTACTTTTGTATCTTTACTTAGAATATTAGTTCCTCAGCAAGTTTTCTCCTCACTCTCAGCAAGGACTCCTGCACTGCTGTAACCCCAGAACCTGCCACAGTGCCTGCCCACTAGGAGGCACTCAATAAATCAGTGAATGACTCCCCACTTGTCACAAATCTGCCTGCCATTTAAAGTTCAACTCAAACGGTTCTACATCACTTTTTTTGTGAAACTTCTCCTAAAGTGAAACCACTTCTCACCACCTTAGTAATTATTACCCTAGTCCACACCAACCACCTCTAATCAGGCTACCACAATAGATTCTAACCTGTCATCTCTAGGTTAGACTACTTGAGTCAATTTCTCATTGGTCCTCTCACCTGGACAATGCATAGATGCCTAATCTCTGTCCTGGTTACCGTTCTTACCACTTTACGGTTGAATTTCCACACGGCGCCCAGAAAGAAATGTAAATCAGATCATGCCACATCCTGATTAAAATCTCCAGTGGATTCCCTTTCTCACTTAGAACAGAATCTTTATCATGACCTACGAAAGTCAGTAGGATCTGACCCCTTCCCACCAATATGACCTCATCTGTCACTCTCCCTTTCTCCCACACTCTAGTCATGTGGCTTTGTTCCAGAACATGCCAAACTCATTTTTGTCTCAAAGCCTTTTTGTATTGGTCTGTCTGCCTGGAAAGCCTTTTCTTCATATCTTCAAGTGCTCGCTCCTTGCACCATCAAATCTCTACTCAGCTGTCACCTCCTCACAGAGGGTTTTGTGCCCTCAAAGTCACACCCCTCACCTACTGTCACTGTCCTTCATATTGTCCTGCTTCAGTTTTCTTCATAGCACTTGTGGCTACCTGAAGTTATATTATTTATTTGTTTGTTTTCTTCCTTATTTTTCATCTCACCCCCAGGATGCAAGGTCAATGAAATAAGGGACCTTGGCTATCTTTTTCCCTTTTATATATCCAGTCCCTGGAATAGTGCCTACCACATCAAAAAATAATTTGTGGAATGAAAGAATACCCTGCTCTTTCTTTCCTCTGAGATTTGATGGCCCTATGCTTGTTCTGTCTGAAGGTACTAATAATATTTTACTACTTTTATGTTATAAGCATCCTGAGGGCAGAGACAATGTCACATCCATCCTTGACCTTCCCACTGTGCTTAGCTCAATACGTGCACATTAAAAGAATGAAAGAATGAGTGACTAAACGAATGAATATTTTTTCACATGTTATTCAAATATAAATATTTTAATCAAAGAATATCTCAATTTTTAAGCTGTGTCTACAATCCTGTACAGGCCATTTTGAGAAACAAAAGAACCTGAACCCAGAATTATTTGAAGAATAAATGACGTATTTATTTTTAAGAGAGAATATCATTCCCATTAGAGAAAACAATATAATAGAAATAACACAAAATTAAGCTTCTATCAAGAGGCTGATGCTGAAGTGCTTACTATACACCCGGATGAGTAGAGAAGATATAAAAACATCCAAACCCGTGTTCAGCAGTACAAACAGAATGTTACAATGCTACAGATGGATGCTTTGCCTTCTTAGGTCATGAGCCCAACCTTTAGGTGGTTGACAGTGTAATTCTGCTGCCAGCACGTTCATTTGCATTCACTCTAACTTTGCACTGCCAAAAAATGGACAAAATGTCTCTTCATCTTGCTTGTGCAGTTTTGGTCCTCAGAATATTTGTGTCATCATCTGTCATGAGAAATACTCCATGATTGCTACCTGAGATCCTTTAATTAACATACTGTGTTTTGGAATTGGTGAGATTGTTCCTAAACAGAGAAAAGGTGGTTTGCTAAGTGCAATCTCAATGTGTTAGCACAGTTCCATGCATGTTTTTTATGCTTTATTTGTATTTGTTGTTTCAAGTTTCAAATACAGAAGTTTATTCTTTTGGTAACAATGTTTTTTCTATAATATTCCCTTTTTAATATTGAAGTATTTACCAGTGCAAAGATCTGAATGGTCTCCAGTTCATTTGATGCCCTGAACACAAAGAATGTGTTCCACGTAGACATCTTTAGAACAGTAATCACATTAATTCCTCTTCTCCATCCATTCTTTCCTGTGTTTTACAGTGCCTGACCTTTAGTAGCAAAGCTTAATTATCCATCTTCATCCAGCATCCACTTCCCTCACCAATCCCAACTCAGTCTTTCCTTAGGTCCGAAAGTTTCCCACGACTTTTACCCTTCTCTCTTTTTTTTTTTTCTATCAAAGGGTAAGGATCTATTTTACATAAAGAAATACTACAAATTTATAAGTGAACCATAGGCAAATTAACAAAATAATTGCCAGAATAAGTTACAAGGCATAACATTTCAGGGGATACACTAATGGAAAATAAGCATGAAAAAATGCTTGGCCTCCTTAGTAATTGGTGCAATACTAATTAAGATGACAATAAGATACCAGTTAATACCCACAAGACTGGCAAAATTAAGGCACCTCATCATTTCAAGTATGAGGGTGGTTGAGGTTCAATGGGAACCCTAGTACATCCCCATAGCGGTTTACATTTTTTTTTTTAACATCTTTACTGGAGTATAATTGCTTTACAATGGTGTGTTAGTTTCTGCTGTCTAACAAAGTGTATCAGCTATATGTATAGATATATCCCCATACCCCCTCCCTCTTGCATCTCCCTCCCACCCTCCCTATCCCACCCCTCTAGGTGGTCACAGAGCACCAAGCTGATCTCCCTGTGCTATGTGGCTGCTTCCCACTAGCTATTTTACATTTGGAAGTGAGAGAGTGGCATGGAGATATATACACTACCTTTTCTCTTTTTAAGAAGGGACACATACCAAAAGTTCTATGAGAAGATGGCTTATTTTGTAGTTTCCTAGAAACTTTAAGCATATTGGGCTTTTTCTGTCCCCTAGACACAGGGAAATTATCTGATTACTTATCTGCAACGTGTAATTTACCTTTCTCCAGGTAAGAATTCTGTGTTGCCAAGTCTTTGGATAATCCTTTAAAATCTTTTTATAAGGGCATAATCTCTTTTGTCCTTTGACAGTATAGCACCTGGAGGTCAGGAATTTAAAGGATTATCATTTTAAAGGTTTGCAGGATTTCGTGTCAAGGCCCACAGTGTATCTGCTCTCTTAATCTCTCATCCTGAATTGAAAATGCATTTCAGCACGCTAGCAACTTTTATATCACATGCTCACTTCACTTTTTAATGTTTTTTCTTATACTTTCCTGTTTCATAATATCTTTTGGAATTACTTGGTAACTGTCTACACTCGCTATTTGCTCCCACTCATCCTTCAACCTACTTGGGTCTAACTAGTTCGTCTGCTGCCACCCCACATGACAGTGCTAAGGTCACCAGTGACCAGCAGAGCAGAAATTCCATAAGCTGCTTTCACCTCACCTTGGCTTCAGTAGGTTCTGATACTCTTGTCAGCTGTCAACCTCGTCCTCTTTCGGCCTCCACAATACCCAGTTATCTTCCTGCCTCTCTGCCATTCCCTCTCCTT